ACAACCGACGGTCTGAAATCACGTGGGATGAGCCTCATTTATAAACGAGACAAGGGAACAATGAAAAGACAAACGATCTGTTCGCTGATTACGACAGGTCTGGACGGAATGCGATTAAAGCTAGCGGTTGGATCATCACCATGGAATAAGCAAATCGATGAATCGCAATGGAACTGAGGTGCCACTGCCCTCTCCGAAAATAACCACCAGTGGTAGTTAACACTGACGTACGAACTGAAAGTCTTTGAGGAAAACGAAATCGAAGTCGAAGATCAATTTCAATCTCAGATTCGCAACGTGCATGTCAGTGTTAAAACTCATTTGCTGCCGCTTCCTCATTAGCTTCATTAAGCCTTTGAATTTTCATTAGCTAATAGTAGTTAATAGCTCATAAGTATCTTGATTTCTGACACACTGTTTGGTTGGAAAAGTTTGTTTCTCTGTAGTACCTTTTTAGTAGTCCAAAGCATAACACACGATTCCTTTAAAACCAGATTTCACGGTGCACTGCACCGCTATCCTACTTCTAGTTGCCTATGAGGACAGAGGAACAAAATTAGGCAGGTCATGGCTCAAAGGTATTCCAACAGTTGCAGTGCTACATACATCTCGTATCATTTTATCCACTAGAAACACCACGTGCTCATCAAAAACGATGTAGCTGGTACCCTTCATACGCTACTTTATAAACAGCATACGTTGTTCTTATGCTGGAGTATGTCAAACAACGCATGACTTTTCTAAGACCAGAATTCAGGTGCGGTACGCCTACATGTAAGGCATACTGCAAAAAGAGTAATAACGGCCACAAAAAGTGGTCTTTCCTTTTATTCTCACATTTAACAACTTTCAGCTTTCACTAAGATCTTAATCTCTATTTAACAGTGAACTGTTCATGCCACGAAAACTGAAGCTCTGGATTTGAAATGCAGCTAGACTTATAGCTTAGAACGAAGCTCGCTGCATCTCTGCTGATTTTAATAAATTTTATGAGAGGCACGCTTCTCGCAAGATCAGTTTTTTCTACAAACTGTGCAACAAATTAAATTTTTAATTTCTGTCACGAAGCAAGTGTGATCTTACTTTTTGACGAAGGAACCAACAAGCCTGAATCAAGAACTATTCAGTAATGAAGAAAAACGAGTCCAGCAGCATGCAACCAAAACAAGAAATAAAACAACGCATGAAAAAGCTTCGGAAGTCAAAATTTATGAGAATCCCATTCGGCCCAACTGATTTTCAAGTGGAACAGGTAGAGGCAAAGCTATCGGAGGTTGAATGATTTATGTATCTCAGTTTTACGATCTCCAGTGATTGCATCATCCAACTCGAATTCAGTCATATTAGAGGATCGCTTAAGCGCCGAGTGCCATGAGAAACCTGTGCAATATTTGGGTTAAGAAGCAATTCTTCTGGTTTAATCCGCCTGTACCTGACCCTTGTCAGGTTAGTGGAGTTGCACTACATGGAGACAGCTGTTCTCTGTTGAACCGCATACAGCAGCGTCGCCTTCAACAAATAATTAGGTT